ATGCGTGAGTGCGGCGCCCCCCCCCCCCCCCCCTTCCCTATAAAGCATGGTTCAATTTGCTCCAACAAAGGGAAAAAATCCGTCCTGACCCTATAAGGCAATCAGATATTCCCTGGATCAAGAATCTCTGGTGCTTAATATACCTATAAGAACTCAATATCCAGTAATATTCTGTGCACTTAGGAATACATCCAGATTTTCTTTAAAACAGTTACCTGAGATAGCTAGAACTAGCTCCTGGTGGAGTCTGTGCCACATTTTCACAGCTCTAACTGTGAAGAATCCTTTCCATATGCAAAGGTTAAACCTCTTTTCCTCCAGACGCAAAGTGTGCCCCCTTGTTCTGTGCAGTGACCTTAAAGTGAATAATTTGGCACCAAGCTCACTATTTGGACGATTTATGTATTTATACATGGTGATCATGTCCCCCCTTAATCACCTGTTCTACAGAGAGAACAAATTCAGGTCAGTTAATCTTTCCTCATAGCTGAGCTCATCCATGCCTCTTATGAGTTTAGTTGCCCTTTGCTGCACTTTCTCCAGTTCCACAACATCCTTTTTGTGAACTGGTGCCCAAAACTGAACTGCATATTCCAGATGAGGTCTTACTAATGCTTTGTACAGGGGCAGGATTATGTCTCTCTCTGGAGTCTAGACCCCGTATAATACAAGAAAGTATTTTGCTTGCTTTAGAAACTGCGGCTTGACATTGCATGCTATTATTGAGTCTATGATCTACCAGAACACCCAGATCTTTCTCCATCAATGACTACCCCAAACATACTCCCCCTAGAGTGTATGATGCATGCAAGTTTTTGGTCCCCAAGTGCAGAACTTTACATTTATCAACATTAAACCTCATTTGCCAAATAGATGCCCAATCACACAGAGCATTCAGATCTGCTTGTAAGTTTAAGACATCCTGTGCGGGCTGTATTCCACTACATAGCTTGGTGCCATCTAAAAATACAGAAATAGTACTTTTAATCCCCAACTCTGTCATTTATATAAAGATTAAACAGTAAGGGGCCGGAAACTGAACCTTAGGGGACACCACTAACAACCTCAGACCATTCAGAGTATGAATCATTGATCACCACTCTCTGAATAAGGTCTTTAAGCCGGTTTTCTATCCAATTGCAGATTGCATACTCTATACCTACTGACCTTAACTTACACATTAGCCGCATGTGGGGAACTGTGTCAAATGCTTTTGCAAAGTCCAAGTATACTATATCCACAGCCATTTCTCTGTCCAATTTATTACTCACGTCCTCATAAAAAGAAAGTAGGTTTGTTTGACAACTTCTGTCTTTTGTGAATCCGTGCTGACTATCGCTAATGATATTATTTTCAAGCAAAAATAATTGCATGTGATCCTTGATCAAACTTTCAAGTATCTTGCCAACTATTGAGGTTAAACTTACAGGTCTGTAATTACTTGGTAAAGACTTTGATCCCTTTTTAAATATAGGCACCACATTGGCCTTGTGCCAATCCATCGGTAGCAAGCCAGTCACAATATTACAATATATTACAATATTCATAAAACATTGTTAGGCTAAATGAAGTAAAATAAAAGTCTAAAATAACTTCAAACCAAAACCTTACACACACATATATTAGATGTTTTGTACCTGCCAACTTATTAATGTTTATTTAAAGGCAATTTACAATAATATTGTATTAATAGTGTACATATATTTGAGTTAAATATCATTGAAGAACTACATATTAGTGTAAGCATTTTGTAAATGTCCTATATGTATTGAGATTTTGAAAAATGTTATTGTGATTCTGAGAGCTAAGTTAGACTTTTAATTTTCTTTATAGGTTAACAATGTGATTGTTACTCTTCCGTTCTCTGTGTCTGCCATACATATTACACAGAGTGGCCAATATGTTACAGTCAATACAGATTTTGGACTAGAGGTTCAGTTTAATGGCGATCATGAGCTGTTTGTAAGAGTGAACGAGAACTACAAAGAAGCATTATGTGGTCTGTGTGGCACCTACAATGATAACCGCCATGATGACTTTATGACACCAGAAGGCAACATTGTAACCAATGTCAATGACTTTGGTAACAGTTGGAGGGTCCCAGATGATGGATGGATGTGAGTATCTGGATAGTCACTCTAATGATCTAATGTTATTTCCATGTTTGGTTAAATTGTTCCTATTTATGTTACCTAAAGTCAAAGTTTTCATTTTGGTCAAAGCATGGAATTATTGAAAGTGTCAGTCTTTATTGCTGTCTGTGTCCCTGCTGGAAAAGTCACCCTCTCATTTTGTCCTGGCAACCTTTGTTGCAGGGAGAGAAAGTGGTAGGCAATTCAAAATTTTACAACTATCACCAGAAAAGGTGTAAAAGGAAAATCTTCCAATGGGAACATTGGTTACTAAGATGGGTTTTTTACTCACCTTGGTGAGATTTCTACTCATGTTCCCTTCACAAAATGAAGGACAATCTCTGCAACTAGACATACAGAGAAAAAAAGGAAAAACACACAGTGATTTAGACCCTTGCCTACTCCTCCCAAAATGTTTAAATTTATGATATACATGATATACACAAAATATGTAAATGTACATTAAAATGTAAGTGTTGATTTGCTGTATTTCTTTGTCATGTAGCTGCTATGCTGTGGGTCTAAGTATTTCAAGAAAGACTATAGAGTTCAACTAAAAGACTAAAAAAAAATATCACAAACCTGTATACAGAGGGTGATTTTAATTTCCCTGTGAACCCATCTCATGGCACATCAACCATTATGCTTATGCTATGGGAATGGGAACATGTAACCAATGAAAAATAGGTATTATGCCAATTTGGCTGCAAAAGTGGAAATACACTTTAACCAACAGTTACACCAAGGGAAGGCAAAAAAAAACCTTATGGTGGTCCAATTTTCTTCACTAAGTTAAAAAATTCCTTCATAATCACCTAAGACAATCGTTACTCACAGGGACCACAATTTACAGTGTAATTATTTTAAAATATAAATAGTTGGTTATATTCTGTGCATTTAGCAAAATACATTGTTGTTGTTTTTTTTTAACCAGCTGTTTAAAAAAAAACTTAGCTAGAACATGCCCCAGTTCATATTTTCACAGCTCTTAGTGTAAAGAAACCTTTCCATATGTAAAAATATTTTTTTCTGATTATAAATTATTAGTGACCTAAACATCATGATGGTTTTGAAAAGGCTTCATGCCCTTTCCCTTTTGTACATTATCGCAATGTTACAGGTTGACATTTTGATTATTATAAATGTGATATGACTTACCAGTAATTACCTAAATGCATTACATTTAGATGTGACTCTACTCCACCACCTCCACCGGTCTGCCCTCCCACTCTACAAGCTGAAGCCATCCAGAAATGCTGGATTTTAAGAGACAGCAATGGACCGTTCAAAGCCTGCCACCCTTACCTTCGTCCGCATCAATACTTTCAGAGTTGTGTCTTTGACCAGTGTGTCACAGGAGGAAGTGATGATCTGCTATGCGGTGTCCTGGAGTCTTATGTTAAAGCCTGCGAAGGTTTTAATGTCAGCTTGGGTGACTGGATAAACAATACTATTTGTGGTATGAGCCTAATATTATGTGTTTAACAACCCTTAAAAAAAGAAACAAACATTAGTATTTGAATTAAAAATAAACGTACTTACAATTTCCTACAGATCCAAACAGACCACCAACAACTCCATCTGCAACTTCTACCACATTGACAAATCCACAACCAGGTACTAAATGTTCACACCTTTTATAATCCCTATGTCCCTCCATATAAGGCTAAAGGTGCCCATACACCTTACGACCATCGCAAGACTTTTGTCTTGCGATGGTCGTATGCTTCTTGAAAGCCCGTACAATCTGCCCACCTTGGACGGGCAGATCGTACTTGTGATCACCGAAGGCCCGCCCCGCTGAGGGGCGGGCTTCCGATGACGGCAATGCAGAACGGGCAGTGGGCGCGTGCGCACACCGGCCCGTTCCGCAGCTATCGGGCGAGCAGGCTAGAAACCCGCCGAGAATCGTACGATTTTCGGTGGGTTTTCGAACATGTTGGCTCTACAAAAGACGTGCGACCGTACAGTAGAAATGGTCGCACGTCTTAGTCCACACTGCTCGATTCTCGTACGATCGCGGGATTTCGCCCGATTCTCGTACTAGAATCGAGCAGTGTATGAGCACCTTTATATCCTGGTAAGGGAGATCTTATAGTACAATTATGAGAGTGTGTACTTTACTTCAGTGAATGATTTGTAAGTGTCACATTTGATGCTTTATGTCTTGTAGCTCTTGAATATGTTGTTCCGGGAAACTAAAATCAAAATGATCAGTATTGTTTCTCTTACTTTTGTTCAATACTATTATCTATGCAATCAGTTGTTTAGTAATTGGGTTCATTGCGCAAATTGCTAAGTGTCACTTTGTGTGCACTTTTCTTTCAACAAGAATACATATTTTTTCTTCAGATACAAGTTCTACAGCATCACCCATTATTTCTACCACAACACATTCAACTCCTCCAACTAGCACTACGACACCTACAGCTAGCACTACTCCTACCACTACCACTACTACTACTACTGCTAGCAGTACTACTTCTACTACTCCAACTAGGACTACTGCAACAACGCCAGAAGTTATAAGTAAGTGGCATCAGATGTAATATTACATTTTGTCCTTTTTTACTTGGTTGTGTTTCAATAGATTACACATTACTTAAAAAAGTATTAAAACATTTTTTTTCTTTATTTCATACTTCTCATGCTGTTACATCAACATTTTTACATTCTACAGTAACTCTGTGACCTTTGTTTGGGGACGGGGGGGAACATGTAACAGAGATTCAATTTTATTTACACCCATCACACAATGTATAGCAAACCAGGAGTAAGAGAAACAGGCCACTAAGGGTGCAGACAGCTATTTTAACATGATCAGCTCTGAGAGATATACATATTGTAATATAAACCAATTAGGCACAGGTAGTTGCAATCTGGTCCACTCATGCACAAGTATCTGATGTATTCAGATTCAGTGAGGCTCAGGCATGTTCTTGAAAAGTATTCTAATGGTGCGGTATTGGCCAAATGATCAGACAAGAGTGATACAGACATGGTCATGGGGTCAGAAACACAAAAAATATTCTTTGAGCAAAGAACTGTGTTAAATAGATTATGTAGCTATGCAAACAGAAGCTCCTAAGAGCAATGTATCTGTTACTTGGTAAGAATACTATATAGCAGCACAACACAAGAAACCTAGATTATAGAAAGGGATCACAAGGTCAATGAGTCAAGCAGTAAAGTACATATGGCTACTTGTGCTTCCCTTTGGATGGGGAGCGGGGTGGACTGTCTCTGGTGGTCTAGGTAGAATGCTGGAGGGATACCAGGACTAGCTCCCTGGGCAGTTGGCAGGAAGAGTCTCTGGACTGGACACACAAGTGAATGGCTCTGGGCACATGACAACCCCACTTGAGGCTCAGCACTCTGTACACAGTTGGCACAGTGCTCTCTGCTGTGACTGGGTCTTCTCCTCATTTTGTGTGCTATTGTGCTCAAAATCTGCATGCCGGGTGACCAGAAGGAGGACCAGACACCTGCCAAGAGATCTCATGCCCAGTCACTTCGGTCTCCTCAGTCATAGTCTGTTGGGACTGCAGAAAAGGGAATCAAGGAAGCTTATATTCACTGGGTGTGCCCAGGAGCCCAGGAGCTTGTAGGTACCCAGGGGATTTTGGGAGGCCAAAAGATTGTAAAAACAGAAGTTAATGGAACTTGTACCCAGCGCTGACCAGGGTGGGTAAAGAGGAACTCCACTTCAGTATAGCAGAAGCATATTGCCTGAGAGACATGTTACAGAGTTGACCAACTTAGCTCCCTGTGTTCTAACAAGGCTATAAGTATATAAAAAAACAACTATGCTTTGTGCCCCCCTGCCGGTCACATAGTTACTACAGAATAGTAAATAGTAATGTAGCAGAGTGTGATATGAATGACATATGTGCACTGGGCTCTGCGCTTACATTGTTCTCTCAGATTGTGATTCAAAAAAGTATTTATAAAGGAAGTGGAAGGAGTAGCATCATGTCACATACACTGTACCCTCTTCATTAATTTAAGTTGGTGTATGGAGCTGTATGAATGTTACTGCCTACTCATGGTGTCTCAAAGCAAGTTGCCTGAGCTAGACTTCATTTTTCGAAAACCCAGCGTAGTTTTTAAAGGCAATAGTAAAAAGGCATCCTGTGATGAAAAATCAAAAAAATCAAAAAGCGAGTTACACTGAGCAAAAGGAATAAGGAAAAGGGAAAATGTTAAAGAAATTGAGGTTTAATGCAAAGATAGTAACTAATGTAATTGTGGATTTTTTTTTTTTTAAATGTCCACAGGATGAAGCTGATCGTGTGCCATGCTTATTCATTTTTTTGTGTTCCTTTTTTTAGCTCCTGGAATCTGCAGCGCTTCAGGTGATCCTCACTACAACACATTTGATCGCAGAGTACACCATTACATGGGCAACTGCAGTTACACTCTCACTAAGCCATGTGATGCTTTGTCCAGTGGATTACCCTACTTCCATGTTTATGCCACAAATGAACATCGGGGCTCTAACACCAAAGTCTCATATATCCAGTCTGTGCATGTTGAAGTGTACAACACTAACTTCACACTGCTAAAGAATAAAAAACTAAATGTAAGTGGTCTCTTAAGCATAATATGTTAATGATATACTGTAATTTCATACAGAAGGTATGTAATAGCATAATTTTAAAGAATCGGCTAAAAGTTTAATTAATCAACATTTATCCACACCTACAGTAAGTTATTACCTCGAAGCTTTACCTATTCTTCAGCAATATGTAAATGGAATTTGTCACTTTTTTAAACTAATGATATAACAAATTTTGATGATGTAAAGCATTCCAAGAAAACTAATTAGACATCACTGCTCACTTGATAATTGCTATTTGTTGCTATTTGATGTTAGACCATCCTATCCATGACTGTTGGAGACAACATTTTACAGTTCAAACACAGCACAACAGGTTTTTTATAAAATGTTTCATTCCAGGTGAACGGGAAGAGAACAAATCTGCCAACCCCTCCTGATAACAGATTTAAGGTCCATTTGAGTGGCAATTATTTGATTTTGGCAACAGATTTTGGTCTACAAGTGAGATTTGATGGTAACCATTATGTTGACGTTTTCCTTCCATCAATCTTCAAAAACCATTTATGTGGATTGTGTGGTAAGTCCTATGTTTGTGTTAAGGTAACTGATATACAGATTTAGAACACCCAATCAACATGATGACAGGTATCCTAAATAACCATTTTAAATCATTATACTGTCATTCAGGTAATTACAACGGGGCATCATCAGATGATGTAGTGAAGCCAGATGGCAGCAATGCCACTGATTCCAAGGATTTAGGAGACAGCTGGATAGTTCTACAAGATGGTGAATTGTAAGTGTTAAAATATATATTTCCTCACATAGTTCCAACACTTTCATATGACATATTAATTAGAATATAGGTGCATTGATTTTCTACAAATTGTCCATTCATTCATTTCTCCATTTCTCCTTTAGAGGCATTGTTTCATGTATTTGCCCTCTTTAAAACAAATAATATGTGTTATTAAATACCATTATTAAAAATAAACTAAATAAAACAAATGATGAGGTCTTTACACATGGAGAAATACACAGCTAGCAGTCAGCGTTCTTTAGACTGGCTAAATAAAGCTGTATTAGAAAAAAAAAGGTTTGGTGCAATAATGTATAAAGCATGTAATACATGTGTCCATGATGATTCTGTTGATCTCTATTGCTAGGGATTAACGGGGATATCATGGAAGATAAATAAAAATCCAGAATACATAGTATGTACATTTAAGATTAACAGTATTTAAAACCCATATATACTGTACATTATTTAGTAATGGCTAATGCAATATACCTGTATCACTGTTTATGGAATATACTTGCACTGCTAATATTTGTTTCTTATAGGTGTGGAAGTGAAAACCTGGAAGCTTGTAGTTCAAATGATGAACAGGAGTACAGCAAGAATACAGCCTGTGGCATTATAACTGATACATCAGGTAATACGTACAGGACAAGGCTGATCATCACTTAAAGCTGAGCTCCAGGCAAACAGCTAAATACACACATTATATATATCTATCTATATATATATCTATATATATAGATAGATATATATATATATATATAAAGCTGTGTAACCTGTCAAAGAATTAGTGTTTCTGTTCATCAAGCCTGAGATGACAGTTCTGCCACATAGCACAGTCCTGTCTGGCAGGGAAGGAAACTTGATATTTCACTTTCACTTGCAGATCTTTTCCCCAACCCTGCCCTGTGACTGGATAGTGATTAGAGAAGCAGCACCATGATGAGCTTGACTCTGTCACTCTCTGTCAATTTGCTCTCTCCTCCTATTAGCATGCTCCTTGCATTGCAATGCACCTGATTGTCTCATTGTGCTGCTTCCAACTTATTTAAGCTCTGCTGAACAATAAACTGCATAAGGCTGATACCAAGCCAAATTCAGCTATACTACTTGTATTAAAAAAAAGCTAAACATGATGATGCATTCATAAATACAGAGCTGCAAATAATTTGTGGCTTTTATGTTTGCCTGGTGTATTTTGATACACTACAGATATTATTGAGTATAGATAAAAGAGAGCTAACAGATGCTGACACATTGTTTCCTTCAGGTATCTTCAAGGACTGTCATGCTCTGGTAGATCCTGGTAACTTCTTTGAAAACTGTGTGCTGGATATGTGCTTCACTCGGGGCGAGTCAACTTCCCTCTGCTATGCTGTGCAGTCATATGCCCAGCAGTGCTCAAATGCCGGCGTGTGTGTAGAATGGAGATCAGACACTTTCTGCCGTAAGTAATATTGCACTGTACATGAGTGCTTTCATGATAGTTAAGGCATTAATATATAAACTCTTTCAAGGACATATGTATAAATAGGCATTTGGGAAAATCACAGAAATCAATCTTAATCCAATCCTACCTCCAGGACTGAATTCAAACATTGTGACACAGATGCCTGAACTATATGTGTAAGAGGAACAGGATTTTCAAAAAAATACCCTTGTAGTGGGGCTGTCCCGATACTGCAAGGGTTTACTGTTCTTTTTGGCCTGGAGGTGCAAATAAAGCAAAATATACCTACCTGATCCTTGATTCCGCCTGGCAACTAGACTGGTCTCTGCATCCTCTTCTCCCCTGGGCTCCAGCAGTTTAAGCCCTGCGATTGTCATCATGTCTATGCAAGGTCCCTTCAATGGCATTAGATGTGAGGACACCAAGGGACACTCCAAAGCCGGAGCGAAGGAGAGATGTGAGTGGTCACTACCACAGGATTGAGGATCGGATGAGTATATCTTCTTCATTCCATTCCCTATACCAAAATTAGCAGTTAATCCTTGCAGTGGGGGGGGGGTAGCCCTACTGCAGGGGTTAACTTTTGAAAATCCTGGAGATGTGCTTTAATTCATTTTGGTCTGGAAACACGTAATTGCCTGTAAGGTATCTCTTCACTTTGTGGTGGCTATCTTGTGTCACTTGGTTTATATTGTTCACATTGGCACTATGCAGTTTATTTAATATTTTCAGGATATAATGAAGAACCTTTGTGGCACCCTCCATATAAACTTATAATTCTTTAGATCAGCATGATGACATAAGAGCAGAGTGGTGACGTTTTGTATAATTTAAAAATGTGGTAAGATTACCTCACCTCACCCTGTGCTCCAGGATTCCAACCTGTCCATAGTTACATATTTTCAGTCCATGAAAACCTAGGAGTACATCATAGCCAATGTACCATAGATCTGTGACTATAGGTCTAAACTGCACATAAAGCACTAAGCACCAGATAAAGGGCTATCATTGCCTAAATAATGTGCAGTTTTGGATACCTAAAGACACAATAGATAGGAGAACCCAAGAATGGCTCTACCATATTCCTAGGCATTTGGGTATAATCCACTTGCATTTTTAAGAACAGCATCCAGTTATCACTGGTTTGTTTATGCCACCCTGCTAAACTTATACAATGTAACTCATTTGGTGAGAGACAAGAAATTCCTTCATTATCTCACAAATATATTGTAGAAGTGAATAAAAAGGGCTTCTCATTGCTACCATGCATCATCTGGCTTTGAAGGAACAATTTTTGTGTCTAGGAGAATTCCTGCACTCTGATTAGGCAATGTATATGGTTGCCACTTTATTTAGAGCAGCTTCTTAGGGCATTGCTTGGCAAGGAAAACATGTGTGGATGTGTGAGTGACAAGCACAGTGGGATGCCATGTAGAAGTTAGGCTGTGAGCTGTCAGGAAAAACCTCCTTTAAGGAGCACTTTGAGTCCTCTTGTATCTAATGTTTGTTAACCTGCTGTGTTCTAGCAATGTTAATTCTGTGCATTTTTTAATTCTTTAAGGAAAGGTGTAAAATTGTCACTTTAATATGCAGTGCCTGTATTGATGTAATGCCATTGAAATGCATTCCTATGATCTACTTTTTTATATCATCAGAGCCACCAGGCTTCATTTGTACAATGCTCAAATGTCTCACAAGTCATTTTTAACCTTTCAGCTATTTCATGTCCAGCAAGAAGCTATTATAGCAGTTGTGGTACTACATGTCCATCCACTTGCTTCAACTCTCCTGCAGTAGCACCATGCAAGTCTGAGTCAGTAGAAGGCTGTTTCTGTAATGACAGCTTTGTCCTCAGTGGAGACAAATGTGTCCCTCAGAGTGAATGTGGCTGCACTGATGAGAATAACAACTCTTACCAGGTAAAATATTCTTCATACTGTCATATGACACTCTTGTAGCTGTAACTACTTAAAGGCTTATTCACAAAGGTTTGAAATGGTTAATTTGCTGTTTGTTTTCTTCCTATTTTGTTCCATTTCCCAGTTTCTTCTCAACTTTTTCAAACACTTGGCAGTAAACAACTAGCAAAACTGAGGATCAGCTCTTAGGCTTCTTAGTCCAAATTATCATGTTCAAAGCTGAGTCCAAACAGCTGAACTAGATTTGAAGGACGTGTAATAGTGTTTATTTTATTTTTTTACTTAGTAAACTAAAAAGAAGGGCAGACTTTTAGTCACTGTGGGGTTGATTTACTAAAAACAAATAGGCTGTTCACTTTGCAGGGGAAATTTTCCATTAGCTTAGTGAATATGGTGAAGATTTGTTGACTTTCATCATCTAATCATGTGCAAGCAAAGTGCAAATTCCCTTGCAAAGCAAACAGCCTATTTTTCCTTTAGTAAATAATTTCCACAATCTCTGGAAAAAAAAGTAAAGCAATATACTTTGTGTTTAAAAGCTGCTGTGTCAATGACATTCGATTCATCTATATAACTTTGTTGTATTCTCCACCATCAACTGACCATTGGCAGCAGTTAGGAGATATAGGAGGGCAAGGAAAAATAGGTAATGGAATCTCTGTAAAAAGAATACTGCATCCCTAAAAATAGTTTATAGTTATAGTTTTGCATTTTCATCCTTCCAAATTAAAGAATAAGGATCATCTTCTTAATGTCATGTTAAACCTTCCTGAGATCTTTATTCATAGATGCATGAGCCCACATCTTCCATCAACTAATTCTTAGGCTTTAAAAAAATAATCATACCTATAAACTGTTAGAATTAGACTTGTGTACTGGTTAAACATTTCGCATTGTCAATAAAAGTAACAATAAGGTTAAAGAAACTCAAAAGCAAAGTTTTCTGAGAACAATTATAATTGGCATAATTGTTCATCTATTGCCATTTGCCTGCAAAAATTATAAAATGATGAAATTATTAAATGATCCTTTGGTTATGTTTTACTTTCAGCTTGGTGAAAGTTGGTTCACCCATGAAAACTGCACCCAGCGCTGTACATGTAATAACAATAACTCCATCACATGTGAACAATGGCAATGTGGAACACGAGAGCAATGCAAGTTTGAGGATGGAGTACTGGGCTGTCATTCCTCTGGTTTGTAATATACTATCTAACATTGTATTTTGATTATTATTACAGGTATTTATGGTATTACAGGTGTGTGTGTGTTATATATATGTGTGTATATATATATATTGTAGAAGGGTGTGGCAATGCCACAATGCGATTTGGCAACATTACACCCAAGAACATTCCGTTAGAGGGGCTGAGAGGTTCCACAATGGGAATACCTTTTGAAGAGGTGGAACTGGCTGTTCAGTTCCTTCCAGGTTTTCCGGACTATAGTGGGATGGGATCTCCAGTCCTTGGGCCAGGTGTTGCTAGTTGCCAGGTTGGGCTGAACAGGTGGCTGAGAGCAGCCTTATTAGGAAGCCAGTCCAGTGCTTTAGAGGAGAGTTGTGGGTGTGCAGGAAGCACACGGCCACGGGTAGACTCTGCTGCGTGCATGAGCACAAGGGACACAGCCAGGAAGACTGGATAGGTCCAGAGGGTCGATGACCCTGAGATACCTGTCGGGGAGACAGAGAGAGACAGTGACCCACGAGGGGTGAATGCTAAAAGTCTTGGAGCAGAGGAAAGCTGCTGAGGACTGTATTTCCAGGGAAAGTCCTGGGACTATAGCACTGGGAGTGTATGGGACAGCCCGATGTCGGTGAGACCAAAACATGATGTGTTTATGAGAGTCCAAGGAACTGTTATGCTTTGTTTATGCTGAAGAAAAGCAAGCTATGTTGTGAAGTTCATGGACTGTTGACCTTTTGAATGAATAAAGACTGTCCTTTTATGTTAAAGTCGACTTAGCGCTCACCATTGTGCTGATATCCCCAAACATTACAATATATATATACACACACCTGTAATACCATAAATACCTGTAATAATAATAGTAAATAATAAATATACATATATATGAATCACAATCTTGGAGTTTCAGCATGGGACCTATATACTTTCAGGTGCTGTGATGCTGTGAGAGGTTAAATGGTAAAGGATCAATTTATAGCTTTGATTACGTGTTGTAGAGTTGGCCATAAGAATTAATTATTAAGAGGCATTTTAATAGTTAAGTGTTTACTAGGGAGAGCAGTTAAGCATTCAGGACTTATTTTAAGGGTCACGTGTTACATTTTGTAACTAGTGACATCACAGCCCATAACTGGTATTATTCTATATGCACGTTGAACTGGCTAAAAGACCCCTAAAACCAGTTCACCAGGGAGAAATCAACCACCTACTAGCAGATGTCAGGTGAATGAGCAGGGAAGGTAACATTCACTCTGTTATAAATAGGATGAATGTCACAGTAAAATAAATTATCTGAATAAAGAGTAGATTTTGACAAATGTCAATGAATGTCCTCTGATTTTGCTGTATAAATAGGATAAATGTTGCCCAAAGAATATTGGAAGAATTTTCAGTGAACATCTGATGGCCATAAAATTGTTTATAAATAGATCCCATATTGTTTTTGATGCAGGATTTGCAGCTTGCCATGTTTCTGGAGATCCCCATTTCTACACATTTGATAAAGTCATGCACACTTTCATGGGTACTTGTACTTACACACTGGTGGATGTATGTGACAAGAGAAGTATCATACCTCTCACCATCAAAGGAAAAACAGAGGACCGAGGGCAACGAGCTGCAACATATCTCAGAGAAATATATATTGATGTGTATGGCATTCGTATTACACTGCAGAAAGATAGGAGAACTTTGGTAAGCCTATATACATGATTATTTCATAAAATTCCACTTTGTTCATATATGTCCTATAATGTCCAGCATTTTTGAATATCCCGACAGTAGGTATAATGTTGTTTATACTGCTTGTAGTTACAACGGTATGAAGTCCAAATGCAAGATGTTGTTATAGGATGACTGAATTAATTGCATAAGAATTCTGTGCAGTGTAAATTACACCTTTTTTATTTATTTAATAGGTGGGTGATACGCTTATCAATACACCGTGGACTGGACATGTGGCAGGGGTTTCTATTGCCACTGTAGGCCTGTATACTGTCGTAATCACTGACTTTGGAATGCTAGTGAAGTTTGATGGTAATCACCACTTGGAGATCGTGCTCCCTGAATCATACTATGCAAAGGTCAGCATCTAAAGTATTTTTGTTTTTATCCTTCAGATTGACACACATGCAAAAATCTATTTTAGTTTTTGTCCTTCAGATTGACACACATGCAGAAATCTATTTTAGAACATTTGTAAATAATACATTTTCCATTATCCATACTTTCCAGTATACCATATGTGACATATGGAACCGAAACATCTAAAGCCCAATCTCTTAAAACCAGGCAGCGACACACATAACCCAATCTCAGTTATGTCGACAAAAATACATCTGACTTCTTAAAAGACATTCAGTAATAATAATTGATATAACTATGTAGTTAGTACTAATTTGCATACTCACAGAATTATTTTTTCTTAGAATGTTGGCTCCCCCCACCCATGTACAAGATGAGTAATTGGATAATAACAGATTAGGGTTCTATTTATATGGCACCTAGGGCTAGTCCCTTATTCACACACATTTCAATCAAGCACAGTGGAAATTGCTTTTCTCTAATCATGATGTCCTCATTCCTAGGAAATATTAAAGTTAAAGAGTTTAAAAATTATATAAAAAAGTCAAATTGTAAATGTAAGTAGAGCACTGGTTACTAGTTCACTATGGCAATTCTACTTAAAGTGGACCTTTACCCCCTTTCACTAAAAATCACATCAGCATACAGCTCTGCATGCTAATATGAAATCATCTTACATTCATTAGTTAAACAAACATATTCCTAGTTTACGTACAATTTCTTGTTTTCTACTTCCTGGTTTTCTTTGGCAAAAATGGAGTAATCATGCCCAAGCATTGCATCCAGGGAAGGTTACATCAGCAGAGCATTGCTGGGAAGTCCCATCTGTAATCTCATGGGATTTCAGGGGAAGGCATTTTTCTCCCTTAAGAGGATGGGCATGGTCACATGTCCTAGTCACATGTGCCAGAGTTACTGGAAGTAAATGGAGATGGATTAATCTACCCTGAGTAAAATGGCCACTGTGAGAAGAATGGGGAGGAAAATAAAAACAAGGTATGCAAAGAATAAAAAACTGCAATTGTGTAGAAGTTCCTCTTTAAGTGAGGTCTTCTTGGTTGCTATTAAAATAACTACATTGCTTGTTGAGTTGTTTACATCATTATGAATGACAGCATGGAAATCCATCAGTAGGGGAGCATAGAATGAATTAATGAAGTTCTCAAAAACATTGAAAATTGAGGAGGCATATTTAACTGGTAAGGGGACCAAAGGACAGCAGAGAGGATATTTTTTTCTTACCAACAAAAGCCTGGGCAAAAAGTCAGTAGGCTGCATTGTCAGAAGTATGCTCATCTATAACTCTTTAGGTTTTGATATACACATAACACTGAAATGTTATAAAGCTATGATTAAAGGGAACATTAACTGTGAATATGTTTGCCAAGTTGTGCTGATTTTCAATATTTTTTCAATATATTAGTATAACTGTGTACAGTTACTGTGCAATTGTGTATTACTGATCACATCAGTATAATAAGAACATTACTGATTTTTCCTAATTGTTTGCTAAAGGTGTGTGGTATGTGTGGAAATTTCAATGACCAACAGAACGATGAATACCTCATGCCAAATTCACTTCAGGCAACTAATGTAATTGAGTTTGGAAATAGCTGGAGGTCAATAGACAGCGACACAAGGTAATTTTAATTCTAAGACTTCTGTTGATATCATTGTGAAAAAACAACTTCAGGCAAATATAAAAATGCAACCATTGCTCAACCCCTGCACGACATACACTGTACATCTCCATAGTGAAGTGCCCAAATGACTGATCACGTACACTGTACAGGAGCAGCTATTCAGGGCTTTGAAATGCTGGTGACCGCTGAGAATTAGAAGTTACCATTCAGTAATGGATGCCTCAGTATCGAGGCATCTATTAATGAAAGAATTAAGCTGTTACAAAAACAAGGATTCCTGCTATTTCAGTTTTGACAGCTCTGTAAAGATCAGGACTTCCCAATGTGTACAGGCTGTTTGTTACATTCTTCAGCACAGAAATAGGTAACTATGTTTTTATTTGCTGAAATATTTCAAGGCTTCTGATCGTCTGGAAACGATCAGAAGCCTTAGTGAGATCTGAACCTGACATGCTGTCTGGATCAGTCACTACAGTTATTATTGTTCCCAATGTTTGGAGCAGCCTAATAATAACCCAACATTTATTTTATCAAGCAGTCATAGTGACTGCTTGATATTATTGACCAAAAAAAGTGTAAAGTGAAAAAAATAAAAATAAAGTGTAAAAAAATTAACAGAGTAAAAAATATATATAAATATATTGTTATACTATAATTATTATAAAAAAATTAACCCCTTACAATGAAAATCTGCAGCTGAGCTGCAGATTTGTTTTTCACCCTAAGAGGTATTTTTTTTGTATGTTGCTGTTTGTAAGTGTGACAGTTAGTGACACTTAATGACAGTGACATTGTAGGCCATCTAACCTAACCACTATTCGGTTTTAGAAAATAAAAGTTAGCTTTTAGTTTTAGGCTGTGGGGTGTTTCCACACAAAGGACAAATAAATGAAGTTATTTCAAAGGAGAACTATGAGGTGAGGGCTTTTCACTCACCTCATAGTTCTAGCCGACCTTTGACAATGAGACTGTCACAGGTCGGCTCAGTAGATCGGGAGGTGAGCGAACACATACCGGCATTCGCTCACCTCTTGATCCTGTCACGGTCCTCTGCTGTGACAGGGGAGGGGCTGGATTCCCCCCTCCCTGCTCCGATCCGCCAGCGCTGACTGGTGGAACGGACGGGGGCGGGTACAGATGGCTCTGCCTCTAGGTAGGCAGAGTCAGCTGTCAGTCACGCAGCTGGGCGGATCCAGACATAATTGTCGAGATCCGCTTCAGCTGCGGTGTCTTAGTATATCGCGAGCAGCAGCTTGCGGTATACTGCGGCGTCTCAGTATACCGTGAGCTACAAATCGCGGTATACTGAGCCTAGGGTGATGGGAGGACGCTAGTTTGTGTCCTCCCGTTACCCTAAGGAGAACTATGGGGAAAAGCCTTAACCCCATAGTTCTCCTTTAATGCATTTTTTTTAGCTGTGCTAATTTTCTAACAAATAATAATAATCAAAACTGGGGAAAAACTGTTTTCTTTACGTTTTTTTCCGTTAGGCACACATAAGTGATATAAATAAATACCCCTATCTGTCCTCTAAAAAACAATACAGTATACAATATGGGTGGGTGCACATAGTAAGAAAGTATATTACTACCGTGGAAGAATCACACAGCAAAAATGTCAAAAGTGCATCAGTCATTAATGAACAGCAACTGAAAAAAAAAGCTCAGTCATGAACGGGTTAAAATAGAACTGACTATAGTCAAGGGTTAAAAAAATCTTTCAAGTTTTTATCAATGCCTGCATCCCATTGGGGAGATGCCCCTTCACTTTCTGACCCTAAGTTGGTGGTTGCAATTGAAGCCTGTATTTAATAGAATGCAGGATAAATAGCCAGCACTCCTCAAACACACAGGGGGGGATTTATGAAAACTGGAGCAGACAGAATCTGGAGCAGTTGCCTCTAGTAGCCAATCAGCTTCTCTATTTAGTTTGGTCAGTTAAGCTATGAAAATGAAAGGCAGATGCTGATTGGTTGCCATGGAAAACTGCTTCAGATACTGTCTGCTTCAGTTTTGATAAATTACCCTCAATGTATTAAAAACAGAGGTGTTAGATCTTCTGCAAACATATACTACTATGTGGAAGCCATCAAGGATGCCCTGTAGAGTGTGTTCCCTAATTTAACAAAGTTCCCATCCTGGGGCATACATAACAAGAAACAGATTCAAGGCAGGTGTGTCCGGAGGTAACTCATTCCACCTGAAAGGTGCAAATACACACTAGAAGCCCAGCACAGCACTTAGGCAACTGAAGTCAGGGAAAACCTACCCTGAGGAACAAACAGCAATTAAAGCTTGACAATTACTTTAAACCTTTCTCAAGTTAGTTTGGCCCACAGAAGGATGTAACACATTTTAAAATTGCCATGGCCTAACTTAGATTTTAAGTATGGGAGTAAAAAGATTCCTTTTTGGATAGGTGCTGGAATGCATTACAATTCAGCCTTTGCACTCCTGTGTTTCACACACATATACTGTTCCTGGTAATAGGAGCCAAAAAGCAGCTCTTGGCTGCTGAGCATAGAGACATCATAAAGGAGCAGGGGTTCGATCATCAGAGACTGACATTTCACCAACCACTAGTGATATTTAAATCAACAAGAGAGGACATATTGAAAACTTTTCAAATATTATTTTAAAAGTGATGCCCCACTGACAGGTACAGCTCCCTATGACATGACATTTCTGAGGAGAGAGATATTTAATGTCATTATGAATAGATTATAACAGCTGGATAAGAACAAGGACAAATGAATGAAGCAGTAGTGATCTCACCTACTTTAGAAAGTCATGCTGTTCCTTCTTCATGTAAAACTCCCTTTTATTCTGCAGGTGCTTGGATGATGACAGAGTGGATCTCAGCCCACCATGTACTGCAGCCCAGAGGCCATCTATAGAAAGTCAGTGCAGTGGACTTCTGTCAGACACCTACAGACCTTGTCATCAACTAGTTGATCCACAGCTGTTTATTCAGTCTTGCGTGTATGACATGTGCAGATATGACAGCATGATTTCCACGATGTGTGCTATATTCCAAGCCTATGTAGATGTCTGCAGAACACAAGGAGTAAAGATTGAATGGAGAAGTCCATTATTCTGTCGTAAGTACTTAAAACAATATGCAAGTGGACAGAAAGAAGGAAAAAAAGTAAAAATTATTTTACTGCAAACTTTGAGCATACTGCAAGTGTTAAGCTTTTTTTTAAAACTTATTTTGGAATAGTTTAGAATGCAACATTTCCATGCCTCACAGTGCATTTAGTTAAAACTTCCTTTATTTATATCTGACGCCAAAACCTTTTCTTATGGTCAGAGTAGGTTGGTTAAAGCCACTGTCAGTTTTTTGTTTTGTTGGGGTTTTGTGCCATCTGTGTCTCAATAATGAGATATTCCTTCACACTCTGCCCTGCAGACTCAACAGGAAGTGAGGGTATATCTTTGCAATGTGAGGGATATTCCCTATTAGACAGTACTCTGTATAATCTTCGAATTGAAGCAAATGTCCCCACTGGAAGATTTAACCTTTTGGATTTACTTTTGCTTTCATTCCTGGTGACATTGGTGATCAGGACAGTTAATAAGAGTAAATATCCCTAATGGCAACACAAACAGCAAAACAAAACAGTAGTTCTAACCCCTCACCACTTTATTCTTCAAATCTTAAAAAAATAGTTTTGGCTTCAGTTATTGTTTAATCAAAACTGGAGCAGACAGAATCTGGAGCAGTTTCCCATGGCAACCAATCAGCATCTCTCATCAGTTTGCTCAGGTAAGATTTGAAAGTGGGACAGAGAAGCTGATTGGTTGCAGTGCAAACCTGCTCCAGACTTTGTCTGCTCCAGTTTTGATAAATTCCCCTCACTGTATTAAAAAATCATACATTTAAAACTTAGAATCTGTGTCTCAAAAGCTTCCAAAATCATTACAGAATAAGCAAATGAAAAATAAATATAAATATATGACAGAGTGTTGTGTATAATGAAGGATGTTTTGAAAATCTGTTTTAACCACTTCCCGACCGGCCGTTGTAAAAAAACGGCTGGCCAGGAGCTCTCTAGATCTAAGCGGGCGTCTTTAGACGTCCGCTCAGCCACGCCCCCTCGCGCACGCCGTCAGGGGCGCGCGAGTGGGAAATGTCCGATTTTTAAAAACAGGCATTGATGACTATTAACATACAAGCGATCCGCCGGCTTGTATGAGGTCCCGGTACGTGCGCCCCCCCCCCGTGGCTCCCCCCTCCCGCTGTCATGCTGGTCCCAGGCTCCGCTGTGCCCGGTGCGAGCCCGGGACCAGCATAGTGCCACTCTGACAGGGGATCAGAGGGAGATCGGTACACGAACTCCCTCCGGTCCCCTCTCCGCTGTCAGTATGAGGTCCCGGTACGTGCGCCCCTCCCCGGCTCCCCCCCTCCCGCTGTCACGCTGGTCCCGGGCTCCGCTGTGCCCGGTGCGAGCCCGGGACCAGCATAGTGCCACTCTGACAGGGGATCAGAGGTACATTACATCACTTCCGCATTCTTGTGTCATTCTCCAGCTTCAGATGCTGGAGAGAAGCTGATGAAGCAGATCCCTGCTTCATCAGCTTCTTCAGGGTGGTCCTAGGTGACATTAGGGGTCTTGGAGACCCCTGATGTCTCCATAAAGTGGATCTGTCACTTCTTTTGCTCCCTATGGGATAGCAATAAAGTTAAGTGAAAAAAAATAGGAAAACATGTTACATATCGTCACGGACGTCGGAATGAGAGCAATAATTCTAGGGCCATCAATCACTGATAACGTTAACCTGATGAGCGGTAAAAGCTTTTAAAGCGTCGCCTATGGTAAATTTTGGGTATAGTAGTTTTTTTGCGATTTCGCTGGTGCGCGCAATTTTAAAGCTTGACATGTTTGGTGTCTATTTATCCGACGTGACCCCGTCTTTTATATTTTACCAAAAAACTGGGTAATAATAAATGTTTCTTAATATAATAAAAAATTACTTTTTTTTTCAAAATTTTAGTAAAAAATAAAACCCCCAGTGGTGATTAAATACCACCAAAAGAAAGCTCTATCTGTCCCCAAACAATTGTATAAAATTTATTTCAGTATAGCATTGCATGACGGAATAAATGTCATTCAAAGTACCGAAGCGCTGAATACTGAAAAATGGCCTGGCCAGGAAGGGGGTCTAAACACCTGGTCTTGAAGTGGTTAATAATATATTCGAATTTAATAATCTAAGAACTGTGTTATTCTAATTAAAGGTAAAAACAAACAGAAAAAATAGTATCTCCTAATTAGATATAAAAATATTAGTGCATTTACATGATTTTAGAATTATGGGGATAGCCTATCTTAAACTGGTATTTTAGTGATAGTTGAAGGCTGGTAGGCTAAATTGCCCAATGACTTCATGCTTTTGTGGGTCTCAAATTGTGAGATCCTTCTACTGGAGCTCCTGAGCCCCCTACCTCCCATACCCCCACTACCAAAATACAGCCTCACTTTTTCTGCTCAGACCATTTATTCTAATAAAGCATATCGGCAGTGATAAACAAACAGATTAATTAAAATATTTGTTTATTCTTTTGGTCAATTATATTTATGTAAGCTATAGTAGAATTTGGCAGATAATGTTTATATAAACACTGTATACATGTGTGGCCTTATAAAGTGTTTCAGTCAAGGGCTCACTACTGCATTACCTTTACCTTGAAGGTTAAAAAGTCAGATAGCCAGGTTTTAGATTTTGTTTTATGCGTTTGGCTTAATGTGTATGAAAATTTTTGTTTTTTGCAGCCTTGTCATGTCCAATTCACAGCAAGTACACAGACTGTGCATCTCTCTGCCCATCTACCTGCAATAACATATATGCCCCTGATGTGTGTGATAAGCCAAATGCATGTTTAGAAGGATGCATCTGTGATGATGGATATGTACTTAGTGGTGACCAATGTGTTCCACTCGCGTCTTGCGGTTGCAGAGATTCCAATGATAACTATTACAATGTGAGTACTAATAGAAGTTATGAAATACATTGTTGTTGATAAAGGTGCATAATTCATGTAGGTCTTAAATATACCTTATACAAATGTTGTAATAATAGACAATTATGAAGAAATATTTGCAAGCACTTGTAGAACGTATTGCCATGAGCAGTGGCAGAAAGAGAACCAAGGGGTCCTTGTGCAAGATCAGTTTTTGGGCCCCCCATTTAACCACTGGTCAAGTGTAAACACGCAGGGGAATATTTTTAAAGCAGTGAATGTGAGATCACCCAATACTTATTGAAGGTGAATCAATCACTGTTATTTAATGATTTTTTCCTTTATTCATAGATCAATTGATAGACATCTATAAAAAACTGAGTGGTGCCCAGGTCTAGGTGACAGGAGGAGAGGTCCAAACTCCCACCTGACCTACATCTAGCATAAATGGGCCCAATAAGCATCCATAGCTCTTAGATTTGACTAAGGAACCAACTGCCTACAGTAGCATTTTGCTGCTGCAGCAATTCTTACTTGGATTAAAGGCAAATGCAAGGAAGATTGCAGATGACCAAAACTGCTGATATGACCAAGCAATCTGTTACACAATCAATGTATTTACTACATGGGCAGCTTCTATAGACTGCACAGATAGAGAGTGATTGTCTGCAGGCAAACAGCTTAAGTTATTAAGCCTATAGAAGTCTATTTATAAAAGCATTTAAACAAGATTTACACAAATTTCACATAACACAACTTTCAACTAGATTCAGTTAGAAAAATGTGTGAGGCCTGGGTGAAAGTTGTGAAAATCTTGTTTGAATATACTTATTTAAAGAAAAACATAATGCCCTGTGACACCATGTATAAAATGTTTCTTTGTAAAATAATTGTACAGTTATTTGTTAACAATTTTTACCATTGTTAGATGGATTAAGTTAGAATATTGTGTACCATAATATGTTTGTCTTTTTTAGATTGATGAAAGTTGGATTTCACCTCACTGCACGCAGAAATGTGAATGTAAGAGGGGCAATACAATCACATGTAAACCATTTAGCTGTGTTAATGGAATCTGCAGTGTGAACAAGAATGGCAAATACAGCTGCAGACCAACAGGTGAGTGTGTTGCAGCACAAGAGTTATCAACTGACATCCAGTTGTGTGTAATATCATCATCTACCCGGTGGGTTCTGCATCTGTATAATATTAATGTACTTAAGGAGCTGAGAATATTTACTGAAGAAATTGTAGGTGTGTTCAGTTTTAACACCCAATCATGTGCACATTATATGGATAAAAAAAAAAAAACAAGCAGGTAATTGTTTTTTTCATGATTGCATAATTTAAGTGAATCATAACTTATTTTATTTTTCAGAAATGATCCTGGCTGGGGTTAAAACTGAGAACTCTAGTATAGTAGAATTGCAGTTTTTTTTAAATGTATTGCAAATGTGCTCTTTGATGAAAAAAAGGAGAAACTTAAAAATAATACATTTCAAGATATGTTTGCAAATATAACTGGTTATTTTATTTAGCAATGCAATACATAGAATGTGAATACTAAAATATGAATTTGTGTTCAAAATAAATGATCAGATATATAAACATGCAATGCAAGTGCAAATAGCAACAATACTATAAAAATATCCAAGGTAGCTGATCAGATTTAATTTACATAATCTAGATTAGTGAAAGATTATTATGTTATTTAATTGGCTGCTATGTAGTAGTTAACTTTGCATATTGTAATTTGCCTTGCAAGATAAACTAAAGTAGAAAATCCATCACAGTTATTTTTCTCTCAGAAAATGTAATCTTTACCGCATTGTCTAACTATGAGTGTCTATTCCAGGTTATTCCAAGTGTACGGTAGCAGGTGATCCACATTATAGCACCTATGATGGCCTGAACCATCACTTCCAGGGCAAGGCTACTTACTTGCTGACACGGACCTCTTCTTCTTTGCATGACTATATGGAGCCAATTACTATTGAAGGCAAAAATGAGGCCATGTTCTTATTCAGTAAATACAGTTTATTAAGAGAGCTGCACATTAAAGTGTACAATCATGTCATATCGTTCAGACAAGGCAAGATATTAGTGGTAAGTGTAAAATTGTGATGCTGAGTTAACTTACAAAATGAACATTTTTATAACCACATTACATAGCTAATAGATTTAACCTTTTCTTCAGCAAAGGTCATTGATGCCTAGATGGTCACATTGTCAGGGCACATATAGTAGATATATATAGATAGATAGATAGATAGATAGATAGATAGATAGATAGATAGATAGATAAACGGGTGGCAAGGATACACCGTCGGTGGCAAGGATATATCCAGCAGCAGGCAGATGCAACCTGGCTGCCCCAATAGCACTTACCACTCTTCTGTGATGACCGATAAAAGTGAGATCCAGACTGTAGATCTGATGCTGAAGGAACTTTATCGCAGAACTTCAAGAAGAGAGGCTGAGGGCTAGGAACATCCAGGCTGGTGCAGACTTTTTTCAGTAGTAGAACACAGTAACTGCTGTCATCACAGACTAGCACCTTTATGACAGATAGGGCAATCTGTGTTTGATCACCTGGCAAAGCGGGACTTGAATCAGAAGTCACCAGCCAGACTCTCCAGTTTCAGCAGAGTACCACTTCTCAGGTTCCCCAGGCCTATTAAAGTTACTCTGTCATCTTCATCCTCAGTTTCAGTCACTGGGCCCCCAGACTCAGGCCTCAGTGTGAACACATGGCTAGTCCCCTAGGCTTCAGGCCTAGCCAAATCAGACTGTCCATAGCATGGTCCGCCCCAAATATTTGTGTCCTCTCCCAGCATGCACCACTGGCCATGAACCTCCTAGTGATTGGCCAGGGAGACGTAGGTACTCAAAACAATCCCTTATTGGTTGCTCTGCTTGGTGGCAAGGATACACCCAGCTGCCGGCAGTTGCAAATGATAACAGATTGCTTAGGGGAAACCAAATGAGTATAGGCTACAAATCAGCATCAGACTGATTACAATCTGACAACACAAAATTTACAGGGCACTCCTGTTTTTTTTTTTTTTTTTTTTTTTTTTAAAAAATTTTTTTTTTG